TGAATCACAGATCATTATTAAGAGTGGTTTAAAGAGCTGAAGTTTGAATAGATTAGTTTGTATTCGTGCATGCTTCACTGTTACGTAGATTAATATTTCTTAATAGAAATGCTTAGCGCGAATTGAATCCGATTGAACATTCAATGATGGTTTGGGTTCTTGTATAAATAGCATCTCGCAGACAAGGCATTCGAATTTGTTTCTGCAGCTCCAAGAGGATAATTTGCTGCCTGCTTCGCCTCGGCAAACATTGAGATTCTTCGGGAAACCAAACGAATTGTTTCCCTCGAGATCAGTCATTAAGTGCTTAATATCTTACAGCTTCTAAATATATCATTGACATAGATTAAAAACAGAGTGGTCCAAGAACAGAGCCTTGTGGTACACCTCATTTTATTGTTAAGCAATCTGAACTAGTTGATTTGAATTCAACAATTTGTTTTCTTCCTGATCAGTATTTTACTCCAAATCCATGATGCACTAGCTCATATGGCAATATATTTTGATCGACCGTGTCAAATGCCTTGGAAAGGTCCAGAAAAAGCTGCATTGTATGTGAAACATGATAGGCTGGCAAACCATGTTAGGAGATCCACATTTTTAGAACCTAAATTAATTGATTTATAGCCGGAGCTATTATTGTCTGACTGTTTATTTTAATGCAGTATTTCCATGCACATCACCACGCAGTAATTGTTCAACCTCATTAGAGCAGTCAGCAATTAGTTATTTTAAATAGTTTTTAAGTAGGAGAACATCCTTTTTCTTGATAACCCTTTCCATTCATTTCCATCAGCTTAAGACCAAAAGGAAGTAACTATTTAGACCGCGTCTCTCACCATATTTCAATCAGCTTTTTTATGAAATTGTCTAAATTGCAGTAGACAGCAGTACTTAGTCGCCACTTCACTAGTTCCGTCATGATGAATGCATACAAATGTTTTTCACCACAAATTTTCCCAGTCCAGCAAAAATTAAGCTCCATTAGTCAGCTATTCTTCAATTTGAAGAAAACAGTTTAAAGCATTTTTTTTAAAGCTGTTAACATTTTGTAAAATTTTGTTCGTCTTGTTTGTTAAGCTAAATTGGGGAGGACCGCCACGTCATTTCCTGAAATGAAATCCTTGTGCAAGTAACTGTCATCTGATCTGTCTTTTATTTGGAGGACAAACCAATGATCATGAGGCTTTTCTGATTGCTTTTGATTACCCACCTCTTCAATTTGATCCGGTCTTAATGGTTCCAAGTACGTTTTCCACCACTTCAGGTTTCTTGGTCAAAAAAGGTTATTCATGTATCAATTAGTATTAAACGCAGTTTAAAAGCTCTAATTATGTTTTGTCTATTGTTGTCGCAGTAAATCACCCCTTGCATGCAGTCAAATATTTTAATTAAACATAAGGAGTGATTGTCAGTAAAATTTTGAAAAGTTTATTGGGCGCTAACCTTGAGCAATCCGATATTTTAATTTCTGATCAAGCTTAGAAGAATCGATTTGAGGAAAGAAAATATTAAATATTATAATATTGTCTGAAAACTCTATTTGCTGGTTAATCCTTCTATATAGTTCTTTATTAAAAACTGAATCACTGGATAATGCAATTCTAGAGCTCTGATTGGCTTGGTAATCATGGTATGTGAGCCATTAGTATATACACACTAAAGCCCCGCGCAAACGGACCCAACATTGTTGGCCAACAACTCTCAACATTGTTGGATGTTACACGTTGCGTCCGTTTGCACACCCTGTTGCATGTTGTTGCGCAAAGTTTGAAACCTGTCAAACGTTCCGTGATCGCCGAAGCGTAGCGCAACAATGTTGGATCCGTTTGTACAGCTCTTCTAACATTGTTGGGGCCACGCACGCTCATTACGCATGGTTTACAAAGACTTATGAGTTGTATCCTTCCCACGATGCACTGCAGGTCCCAACATTGTTGGGAGTTGTTGCATCCGTTTGCAAACCACTGCCAACACGCACGCAACAACTTCCAACATTGTTGGCGCAACAATGTTGGGAGTTGGCAGTTGTTGCGTCCGTGTGCACGCAGCCTAAGTGATCTTGGTGATTTAAGCAATCTAATTGGTTTGCTATCTCGGACCACTATTGAACAATATTCACCTCCTAGAGAGTGGATAATGTGTGAGCTCGGTGTTTTTCCCCTTTTTAAGAGAACGATCTTTTAGAAGTCGACAAAATCCTGAGGATGACTGTTTTTAAGCCAAAAAAAGACTTGAAAGGAATCAAAACAGCGTTTTTCCATTTACTGTAGCTGAGTTTTGTGGTCGATTGATTGTTTACAGCTCCCGTTTATTCGCGTAGAAGAAACTGTTTCGTGAACTCAGCGTTTCCTGACAAGAAAATTATGCCCAAAAATCGAAGTTTATTGATGACAAACAAATTTGAAAGCAATTGTCTGCAAAAATTCTACGTTTAAAGTAAATAGGAAAAAGAATGGTACTGGATGACAGCGTCTTACCTCGAGCAACCGAGCCGCCATTGTCAGCACTTCATGCGAAGAACGACACAGCAAACCCTTTTGGCTATAAACTTGGCGAGTCAACAGAAAACAACAAAGTTCTACTTTTCTTCTCAGGTAAGGAAACAATTCAAACTTTTAACGGTTCCATTTAAGCCATTACGCTGTTGTTTGGGAAGTGATAAGTTTTAATTATTATTATTATCATTGATTATTATTCATTCAAAATATTTCCCCAATTCTGACTGGCCTTAAAGCACACATATAATTCACCATAACCAGCTACTGATGACCAAGTTTGGAAGAATTTTGCGATTAATTAACCGATGACGTCAAAAGTTCAGCTTTCTTGCAGGTTAATGCACCGTTTACCGAGAGTTGTTTTGGTTGTGAAAACAAAAATGGAGGACATTGCACTCGTTCCAAGAGTAAGAACTAGGCGAAATAAAAGCTAAAAACATGGCAGGAACAGCAAGAAGACAACTGGAACGGCGACATCTGCTATTTGGAGAATATTTGCGGAGCGGAAGAACTCTAAACGTGCACTATCAAAGATGAACTTAACATCGATGGAGGTAAGCATGTTTTAGCTATCTTCTTAAACTAGAAATTATTTTGAATAAATAATACAACAATTACTGAATTCGGCTTTCGTTTCATATGAAGAATTATGGAGATCTCGGAGGGCGTTATCCCCCTCGGCGGATAAAGGCCTGATACATAACATGTGATACGACTGAGCCGAATTCATTGTGTTCAATACCGAAACTCTACAGAAAACTGAAGATAAATTCATGGGCAATTTAATAAAAAAACAAAGGGTAGCGTACAAAAAATGGAAAGTGTACTCGAAAACAATGACGTATTGGGACTATATTCTCAAGCGAAACCCTATGTTTTTGTTTGCTGGTCGGCAAGAAAAATGGAACGACAGCTTTGAAACAGGAACGGATCTTTGACTTTCACAGAAAACAATAGCTCAAACTGAGGAAAACACTGATTCCTTCGTGTTACAACGCTTAACCACGTTTCGGCAAACGGGAAGTAACATTATTGTGTTATGACCTCTTATAACTAAGTTTCGATGTGTCTACTCGTGGTTAACCGTTAAAACTCCTTACTTGCGCCACATCGCTGCAATTTTACTCGCCAAGAATACTTCTTGCGTGGTACTTTCCACATAGTGGATTCTCTTTTTGCCTTTCGTGAGAAATTAGCGCATGAAAACGGAAAATTTTCCAGCGCACGGCCGTCATCTCGCCTCCTAGTCAAGAAGTGAACTTCTGGACAGAAATAATGGGATTTTTGCCGATGACAAAAATTAGCTTATCTATCCTTAAAACATTAATTTCTTTGGCATAATGTAATTCAAGACCTGGGAAATGAACTAGTTGCCCATCCAACATCAATAAAAAAATCGTGCCACTGAATAAATGGCAGGCGATCGCCCAAAAATCATTCAAAAAAGTACATTTCTAGCCTACCTACGCTAAAGTTTTGGATGTTAGCTGTGAAAAAGTGCTAAAAACCACATCTATAGGCCATAGCACAAACGGCTGGCCCAACAGTCACAAGGTTTATGCATTTTCCACGTCCTTTCACTAATCCTCACTGTTTTGCATTCCGCCCATAGCCAACGATACCGCGTATATTACATAGTGTTAATTTAGTCCCTCGAGGTTATTTTACGGTATATAAGCGGCCACGCGGTATTAGACACCATCAAGATAGAGCAGAAATATACCAGGTTTTTTTGACGCTCCCTCTCGCTCGGATTAATCAGCGTTTCAGACGTGTGTAATCAGAAAATTACAGTGTACAGAATAAACCTGATCTAAGTGCAAAAACTGGTACGTGATTCTCTTCCGAGTGGATTCAACACAGATCCAAATCAGTCAAAAAAACCTGCAGAAGTTCGAAGAAGAGAAGTCACAAGTTCTGTTCAAAGCCTCAAGCTCGCCGATTTGAGGTCACCAGCTGACGAACCGCCGAGGAAAAGTCACAAGCAGAAGCTAGACAAGTGGCAGTGAAATCTCAAGACCTCAGAAAATCAGGAGCAGACTGGAATCTACAAAAGCAGCATATTCAGTAGGAAAAAGGTAAAACAGTTCCTTTATTACCGCAGAAAATACGGAGAATCATTTGAATTCACGTTCAGAAGTTACGCAACTGGACTTCAGCTTAGGTGACACATTACTTGCCATTCAGAAGAGAGGTTCATGAAGACATTTGGATGCATTGATTACATGAGGATGAGTTGACTTTGTTCCAATATTGGAAGTTTAGAACTGATGACAATAAAGTTTAATACTTTATTCAATCGTAGAGAAAACGCAAAAGGAAAAAAAGCACTTAATTTCCCGCTTAATTGTGTTAAGTTTGAATTGCGTAATACAACAATAGAAATAGTTACGTAATATAACAATAGAAATCTACATATCTATCACAAGTAATTACAAGTATTCAGCAATATACGCAGTTGCAATTAGCGATTAGTTACAAACAATTATTAAATCAAGCATGCCTCCTAAGGTGGACGTATCAATACTAATTGCGAAAAGAGATAGTACAATAGTCGCACTGTACGAACTTTTAGAAGAATTTCAAGTGCTTTACAAAGTTCTGCCCGTATTAAGTACGCTTGAAAATGTTTACAGAGAAATGGAAATTAAGTACAGAAGTGTTAAAAACAGCAAGAGACAATTATGGATAGGCTAATTGAGACGGGATCTACAGAAGAACAACTTAAGGCTAATCAGGTCGGAGATAAAGTTAGAGGCGATTTTCTAAAATACAGCGAAATTTTTGCCACTTATCAAAAAGCGTGCAACTCCCAAGAACCACCGCTTAAGCACGATCCGCTCGAAGCTATGACTACAGCAGTAACCAAAATGGCAGACGTTTTAGGTTCGCAAAAGACCGCTAGTCACGGACTTGAGAAGTTATCAGTGCCAACATGAGAAACAACAATAGAAAATCTTACGCAACTTGGAAGAGCGAATTTAACTGTTGGATGTTTAAGTACAAACAGGACGAAGACGAACAGCTACAAAGACTAAGACAAGCGTTACCAAAAAACTCTTTTTGGTCTGATCAAGTGCGGTCAAGCAGGAAAATCGAGCAGGCGTGGAAAATTCTTGATACTGAATTTGGAGATCAAAGGAAATTAATGGACACACTGCTAAACGAAATTACCACTCTCAAACCAATAAAGAATGACTTGAACTCGCTCTCGCGTTACGCTGCTAGAATATTAAGCTTCCTGAACAACATGGAACAAAACGGTTGCGCAGTAACAACTACATCGGAAGCACCCTTTGTCATGTCACAGCTTCTGTCTAAATTGGATGCCAGCGATAACATTGAATTTGGCCGCGAAATGCTACACATGGGAAAAGAAGAAAATGTTTTAAATTTGATTGATTGGCTAACAAAGAAGCAAGTTTACGATCGCGCATCAAAAGACACTAATTATCGTAATAATTCAAGAGAACACCGTTTTGACAATAACGCTAACGACAGTGGACTAGACCAGGATGAAAAATGCCCACTGGGTTGCAAAACAAAGCATTTACTTGGCGCATGTCCTATGTACCAAAAGTCAACAGTTGATGAGAAATGGGAATTGTAAAACAAAACAATCGCTGTCGAAAATGCCTACGAGCCGATCTTACAAACTCTTAAAAAGCCCGACGGTACCACTTGCGATAAGTGTACGGGACGCCACCATCGTTCCTTACACAAGGAGCGTGTACCTCTTGCAAATTCAGACCAAGGCACAGAAACGTTTTCATCCGCAAACGAAAGTCACGAAGCTAGTAATCACAATGTCCAGGGCAAGACAAGCGTCCCCGCTATTTGTCCAGTTCAAAAAGTAAAGATTAGAGGCCAAAATGGAAATTTTACGGAAGCCCTAGCTATGCTAGATAGCGGCTCAAACACGAGTTTCACTTCAAAGAACGTTGTCAAGAAACTTGGCATACGCGGTCCCAAAACGCATTTAACGATGAGCTTAGCAGGAGGCCAAAAGAAGTCGGAAGCATCAGCGTTTCTCGACATAACTGTTGTTTCGAACACTGAACCAAGTATTCAGAAATCTATGCGAGCTTATTCAATAAACAACTCATGCAGCCCAGCAAGAACAGTCTCGAGAACGACATTAGAAAGCTATTACCACTTGAAATCAGTTTCAGAGCAATTACAGATATCGGGCGGAACAGTTGATTTGTTAATTAGAACAGACTTTGCCGACCCTTTAATGATATGCACGTTATCGCAGGGAAATCCAGAGAACCAATTGCAAAGAGAAATTGCTTCGGGTGGTACGTCATGGGAAAATTTGCTTCAAAGCAGAGTGAACGTCCCTCGGCTATCAATTCAATTGAAGTAGGGACTGTCGATGTGTTAGAAGACATGAAAAAACTCCTCACACAAGACATGTTGGGAGTAAGACCAACCGAACTTTGTACGTGCAGAGATAATGATCTTAAGGAGAACAAGTTTATTAAATCACTTGCAGAATCGACTCAGATTGTTGAGGGGAGAATCCAGAGGCGAATGCCTTGGAATGGCGTGGGACCCCCAAAGGAGAGAAATTACGATGTTGCATATAAAAGAATGATTTCTTCTGAAACGGTCCTTTAAGAGAAAAGATTGTCTCGAAATCGTTGAAAGTGAAGTTCAAAAGTTGTTGGATCAAGATTTCGTCGTTGAAATTCCCCCTGGAAACGTAAACCATGATCAGTCTGAATGGTATTTGCCTTCACAAGCCATTTTCACACCTGACCGAACAACGCAAGTTCGATTAGTGTTCTATGCCTCAGCGAAGGGTCCAAGAGGGAAGTCGCTTAACGAGCATCCCGAAAAGGGACCAAACTACATAAACAGTTTGCCCAACGTGCTTATGGCTTGGCGCTTTGACAAAGTGGCTTATACCGGAGATGTTAGGAAAATGTTCAATCAAGTGTTGATCCATCCTGACGACCAAGTCGACTTCCACAGATTCCTATGGAGGACCAACGAAAGTTTAAAGCCAAAAGTCTATCAGTGGAAAAGACTTAATTTTGGAGACAAACCAGCCCCAGATAAAGCTGCTGGAGCAATCATTACCTTAGCTAAAGCTTCTTAAGACCAGTACCAGGAAGCCGCGAAGGAACTCCGAACCCATGTCTGCGTTGATGACATCGGTGGCTCCCGGGAAAACGAGGTTATTCTCAGCAAAGGTCAGTTTCAAATCAAACAGTGGCATTCAAACAACAAGAAAGTTGATCAGACAGATGAAGAGCGTGTAGATTTTCTTGGGCACAAATGGAATAAGGTTCGAGACACCATTACCCTTAAGAAGACAGAAATTGTTGCAGATGAGAAACCTGTTACAAAGAGAAATTGCCTCGCCTACCTGGCCCAGCTTTGGAATCCCACAGGCCTCGTGACTCCAACAACCATCGAGATGAGAATTGATTTACAAGAATTGTCGAGTTCAGGTTATTCCTGGGATGAAGTCCTACCAGACGAGATTCAAACTGAAAGTGGAAGAAAAATGCCCAACTTCTCAAGTACGAATTCAAAAGAAAGTTAAAGCTAGATAATACAGTTGGAATACCAGAAATACACGCATTCTATGACGCGGGAGAGAAGGCTTATGGATCAGCCATGTTTCTTCGTTGGAAACTTGATGACGGAAGCTACACCTGCGTTCAGCTCATGGTGAAAGCCTTTGACTCACCCCTAAAGAAGAAGTCAATACCACGCTTGGAGTTAATGGGTTGTCTCGCGCTCTCAAGGTTATACCGAACATGTAGAGAAGCCTTAGAATTCGCGGAGATTAGCAGCTACAAGAAAGTGTTCTGGATCGACTCCCAAGTTGTGCTGTCATGGCTTAAAACAAGTCCGAGAAAATTTAAACCGTTTGTCTCAGTACGAGTTGCTGAAATCCAAGAGACAATAGACCCTCAAGAGTTCAGCTACAGCAGACCTGAACATAATCCAGCTGACGCCTTGACAAAGGGAATTCTCCCGGAACAGCAGAAAAAATGGTCACAAGGACCGCAGTTGCTTAGAAAGCCGCAAGAAGAGTGGCCCAGACTTGAAGAAAATGCGCTGAAGATCAATGAAGAGTAGTCAGCTGAAATGAAACCTCCCATTGAAGCCAGACCAACGTAGAAAGAATTAAGAGACAATCCTCTCTTTGAACATTTGATGAGAACGTGTTCAATATTCTCAAAGGCCAGGAAAACTTTAGCTTACGTACTAAGATTCGGCAACAACACAAGAATGAAAACGAAGAATATAGATCCAACGACGATTGACGTCGACAAGCTAGATAAGAAGCTTATTCCGTCAAAGGACGAGCATGGATTACTACGCGCGCATGGAAGATTGGAAAACATAAGGACGCTTCCCAATGAAATGCGCAATCCTATTATCCTCCCGAAGAGCCATCGATTAGTCGAACTGTTACTCGATCACCTACACGGAAGACGAGCACACTGTGGCTACAAGAGCCTTATTTACGAATCAAAAAAGCGATTCTGGATTGTGGGAGTACGTCACATGGCAAAACATCTAACAGGAAAATGTGTGACTTGCAAGAAACGCTCAAAGGAGCACATGTAATTATATTCACTTGCATGACAACCAGAGAAGATAACAGATAGAAGTACCGACACGTTTCTTATGGCGTTTCGACGATTTGTTTCCTTGAGAGGAAATCCTAACAACTGCTGGTCCGACTGCCGAACAAATTTCATTGGAGCTCAACACTACCTCAAGGAACTTTTGAACAACTGGGATATTCCTAGAGTCCAGAGCGTTGTCTCGGAAGAATTTTCGTCTACTTTCCAGCGGAGTTGGAATGTCCCTCGCGCCAGTCACCAGAACGGAATTGTGGAGAGTCTAATCAAATCAGTACGACAAGCGTTAGATGCTACATCCAAAAACCAAGCCCTCACAGAAGAGCAGTGGAGAACGTATTTAGCAGAAGTTACATGCTTAATAAATCAGGGTCCTCTCTACCCAAGCTCAAACGGAATTTGGGAAAGTCCGCCTATCACGCCAAATGATCTTTTGGTCAGAAATCATTTTCCACCTCCGATGCCAGAAGTAGAATCGAAAGTAAATCCAAGACACCTCATTAGAAGTACAGAGAAACGAGTGCAAGAGTTTTGGAATTGCTGGATGAGATATTTTGCTCCCAATCTGCTGCCAAGAAACAAGTGGTTCAGAAAGCGAGAAAATCTACAAAAAGGAGATTTGGTGTTAGAGATTGAACTAACTCCCAGGAGAACGTGGAAGATGGGACTTGTACTCGAAACTTATCACGGTGAAGATGGTCTTGTTAGAAAAGCAAAGATTAAAACAGCAACGTCAGTCTATCATCGACCAATTCACAAATTATGTTTAATCGCGACAAAAGAAGAATTAAACAGCTTGCCTTAGTTATACAACCTGGTTAAAGCTAACTTATGTAGTGCAAAGAAACAAGTTGCTCAACCAATTACTTAAGTAATTCGCTTTCCGCACCGGGGGGGGGGGAGTGTTTTGCATTCCGCCCATAGCCAGCGATACCGCATATATTACATAGTGTTAATTTAGTCCCTCGAGGTTATTTTACGGTATATAAGCGGCCACGCGGTATTAGACACCATCAAGATAGAGCAGAAATGTACCAGGTTTTTTTGACGCTCCCTCTCGCTCGGAGTAATCAGCGTTTCAGACGGGTGTAATCAGAAAATTACAGTGTACAGAATAAACCTGATGTAAGTGCAAAAACTGGCACGTGATTCTCTTCCAAGTGGATTCAACACATATCCAGATCACTCACGAAACGTTCCCGAAAGCACAATGTTAAAAATAGTGCATGTCCTCTCCGATCGCTGCAGTACTTCCTTCGCTTAAGTTCACCATTCACAATTTTCATCATACCTTAGTGTCTCCGACGTTTCTCCACTTTTGAGAATAC